CGTGGCCCATAAACACAAGGAAAAACCCAGTTAGGTCCCAATTGGCTCATCCGCTGTGGTCAATCCTGGAATTAGTCCCTGTGCTGTATCCCCAGGCCTACAGCTTTAGTCGGGCACAGCTATCATGGACGTCAGTAGGAGTTTTCCCAAGTGAAGACAGAAGAGTTTAATCTAGTCTAGTTAATGACCCAAGGAACGAGGAAGGGAGAGGGCTACACTCTACAGTGGTTTTTGTAGCGGGGGAAACAAATGTCCCTACATATTCCTCCCTACCCCCTGGGGAAGTTGGGGAGGCAGGGAATTCGTTACAGTCTGAAAGTGGCAGGAAGTATTCTAGAGGCAGAATCTGGAATCTCTGAGCCAGATCCTGCTCTCAGTTACACCAGTGTAAACCCAAATTAACCACTGACTCCAGTGGAGAGGCTCCATTTTTAACTCTGAGCAGCATCTGGCCTCTGTGATCCCATTGATCCATCTCAGCCCTGGCTGTGCTGTCAGCTCCATGCATGGGGAGGGACCGAGAGCGGCCAGGGGATATTACAGGAGAGGGGATGATTCCCAACAGAAATGAGCAGTCCCCGGTTCTGCAGTGTTTGGCTCGTTCCCCTGGGATCGTTCTCTGCCTCTGCTGGAGTCACCGGCCCCGGATGGGATGTTTTACAGGAAATATTTCCTACTGTTCCAACAGATAAATATAACGTTTTTTACCCTGACCCTGTGGATCCTGAGAAACAGTCTCTCCTCCCTCAATGCAGATGTGTCCACCCTCAGAGACCACAGGTGAGAAGGCAACAAAACAATCCTGGAGGGTCCTTGGCACCGAGAGGGTGTGAGGGATTGCAGGAGGGGAACAACGTACAGTATTTAGGATCCATGGGAATGAATTCCCATAGTGTTTGCATTGAAAGTAACCCTGTCCCACACAGGAAAGCCAGGGCCAGTAGCTCCACCCCACTCTGCCCAGATCCTCTTGACCCAATCGCTCTCCATAGGGTTATTGTAACGGGATCTCTCCATCTGACTTTATCAAGGTTACTGACCTTTAAAGCCATCGCCCAGCTCTTCATTCTGGGCTGCACATGGAGCCTTGGTCTCCTCCAAGTCGGCGCAGCAGCCACGGTCATGGCGTATTTATTCACCATCGTCAACAGCCTGCAGGGAGCCTTCATCTTCCTGGTGCACTGTCTCCTCAATCGCCAGGTAATGCCCACGGCCCATCAGCGCCCACACAGCACCTTCACTGGCCTCGCAGTGGCCATCTCTGATCTTCTCAGCGTTAGTTACATAGTGCAGTGACCGTGTCCTTCACTCTCCAGGTGAGAGAGGAGTACAAGAGATGGATCAAGGGATTCCGAACGTTCAGCATAAAATCTCAGACATACGATCTATCCATGTCTGCTGTCCCCACCACCAGCACCAAGACGGTAAGAGGTTCTCTGCTGTGTTCCAATACCAGCCTATGACACAGTCATCTCTAGTTGGGTCTCATTAATCCTGCTAAGGTGCTTAACCCCCCGAATTGGTTTGGTCAGGATTGATTATGAGCCAGTTGGGAAAGTCACTGCAAGTGTTAGTGAGAGTCGGTCACTGTCGAGGGGTATCCTAGACGTCTTAGGCATCAGAACAGAATGCCCTGTCCTGGCACCTCCGCGTTCCCTTCCCTTGGCTCTCCTGGGAGCTCCAGGGGTCACTCACTGTGGGCTAGGCAGGCATTGGCTCTTGCAGTGTAATGATCTGAATAGATCAGATTGTCCCCTGGGATTGAAACCTTGTCAGTGCAGACGGATCATCCCCAATGAGCAGTCAGCACCGTGAAGAATTTCCCTTGGCTCCATTGTCCCTGTGGGTCAGGATCCAGGGGCTTTGTGTGTCGCCTCCCAGAGACAACCCGCCAGTTTGCACATTACACTCTCAGTGGCCTTGGAACCTATTGTCATTTTTCTGCTTTTCTTGCCAGGAGTAACCCTTCTGCCAGGCGGAGTCGGCAGCCACCAGGGCCGGGTTCAATACCTAGCGATTCCAATACAAAACCGAACCTGCTGGAGCCCCTGTGACGTTGCACTTCATATGCTTTATGGAAATATGCTCATGAATAGGACATAACTGGAATATGCTTTATGCTAAATACCCCTTGTGGGGGTCTTTAGAAAGCTTGTAATCTGCGAAGTGTGTTCATCCTATTTGTTTCCATGCATTATTTCTATATCTGGAGTTAGGAGATTAAGATATAAACTTGTATCACTGATGAAAAACATATTAAGTAGAGGCCATTAAGGATGCTCCAGAAACAATCAGTTGTAAATGGCCTTAGTTACTTGAAAGCCTCCCTGTGTACGTGTGGACCAGCCCATGGGGAATGGAGACTAGGGGGCTTACAGTGACATGTGACCATTCACCTGATAATGAAATCCATCTTAAACCTGGTACTTTTCCATTTAGAAGGAGGGGTGGGGACCTAGAGAGACAAAAGATTCCTGCCTTGTGCCAAAGCGATAAAAGGGGGTGGAACAGGACAAAGGACTGCCAGTCATGAGAAAACCCCTGCTTACCACCTGAGATGTCTGCTAGATCTAACAAAGACTGTACCAGGGGAAAGGTTTGGGCCCAGACTAAGAAGGAGTCTAGTCTGTGAAAGAAGCTTATTGGAACATCTTCGAAGGTGAGATATTACCGGTAATCAGTTTCTTAATATATTAGGCTTAGACTTGTGTGTTTTGTTTTATTTTGCTTTGTGACTTACTTTGTTCTGGCTGTTATTACTTGAAACCACTTAAATCCTACTCTTTATAATTAATAAAATCATTTTTGTTTATTAATAAACCCACAGTAAGTGATTAATACCTGGGGAAGCAAACAGCTGTGCATATCTCTCTATCAGTGACACAGAGGGCGAACAATTTGCAAATTTATCCTGTATAAACTTTATACAGAATAAAATGGATGTATTGGGGTTCAGATCCCATTGGGAGTTGGGTGTCTGGGTGCTGGGGACAGGTTACCTGCTGAACTGTTTTTAGCTAAAATCTGCAGCTATGGGGGTGTGGCCCAGACCCTGGGTCTGTGTTGCAGCAGGCTAGCGTGTCTGGCTCAACAATGCCGGGATCTGGAGACCCAAGCTGGCAGGGAAAACAGGCACAGAGGTAATTTCAGCACATCAGGTGACAGTCCCAAGGGGATCTCTGTGACTAATCCATCACACCCCCACCCAGTAATCTGGGCAAACTTCAGACCACCCCAGACGCCTCAAAGAGGCAATACATCCCCTCTCACAAGCACTAAGTCTGTGTATAATAAAGAGAAATTTAATAAAAAGGGGAAAGGAACCTGGTAGTATTCTGGGAAACCCCACAACCATGATTCGAAAGCTTGTCCATGAGTAAGCCAAAGATATTTTCAATAAAAATCACAGCCAGGTTGTGGGCAATAAACAACAATTCACAGAAACCTGTGACCTGTCCTGACCTTCACTCCAGTTCCGCATCACCTGTAGCAAGTGGGAAGTCTAGGGTCCCCCACTTCCCACAGGGAGCTGGGCTACTGCAGGGTCCACTCACCCTCTGCAGTAGCTGAGAGCTCCAGGGGGGGTACCCCACTTCCCACTGTGGCTGGGCGACTGCAGAGGGTCCCCCGCCACCAGCTACAGAGAAGCCAGGGACGCGTGGTGGTGCAGACAGACTTTCCCCATCCACGGCGCCACTCCACACACCACCCCCTTCCACAGCATTGAGAAGATAAGCAATGTGGCCGAGCCCCTCAGGGAGGAGCCAGGCCTGGGCAGCAGGGCCTCGCCAGGTAGGGCCAAGAGCAAGCGTCCAGGGGGGTGGCCCCATGGCCTTCCTCCCCCATGAGGCTACGGAGCTCACCACCCCCGGTCAGTTCTAGGGTGGGGATTACTGGGGGACAGAGCTAATTGGAGGAGAAAGGCCTCATATCCGTGACCTCCGTGACATAATCGTAGCCTTAGCCATGAGAAAACTCTTACCCCAGAATATATTGGGCAGTGTCTTTTGCCTCAGTTTCTCCCCTTGTGGTGTGAAAGTCCAACAAGTTCTCCTTTAACCTGCCTTTGCCCTTTTCTTCCCCTGCACCCCACTCACAGTTGCTGTGCTTAGTCGGCGAAGGCCCAGAGTTCAGAGTGTTCATATGAGTTCAACTCCTGCCAGTGGAGTGGGAGGTGTGGAGATGGCATCAAGAAAAGCCTGACCTTAAAAACCTCTAAGGAAGGAGATTCCATCACTTCCCTAGGTAACCCATTCCAATGCTTCACCACCCGCCTAGTAAAAAAGCTTTTCCTAATATCCAACATAAACCTCCCCCACTGCAACTTGAGACCATTACTCCTTGTTCTGTCATCAGATACCAATGAGAACAGTCTGGATCCATCCTCTTTGGAACCAGGTGTCAGGTAGTTCAAAGCAGCTATCAAATCCCTCCTCATTCTTCTCTTCTGCAGAATAAATAATCCCAATTCCCTCAGCATCTCCTCATAAGTCATGTGCTCCAGCCCCCTAATCATTTTTGTTGCCCTCTGTTGGATTCTTTTCAATTTTTCCACATCCTTCTTGTAGTGTGGGGCCCAAAACTGGACACAGTACTCCAGATGAGGCCTCACCAATGTCGAATAGAGGGGAACAATCACGTCCCTTGATATGCTGGCAATAGAGGGACTTGCCAGCTACTTCCGGGAGTGTCGCGGAGCAAAGGCAGGTAGGGAGCTTTGGAGATGTTTGGGGTGTTTCCGCATCAGTTTCTAACTTTAAAATGTCCCAGTGTCATAAATGCCTCAAGACTGACACTTAGCCAGACAACACAAAGGTGATTATCCAACAGCACCTCACTTTGAACAGAAAACTCCTCAGTTTTCCCATCACTCACCAATCTCACATCTTTCCTCATCACCAATGTTGGAAAGTGACTGCTCAGTGCAACCAAAATAAGCGCTCAAGAGTGCCTGCTGGGAACTCGCTGCTTCACTTAACTGCATCCTCACAGAATGTGTGTGCGCATAGGCACCAACTCCATGGGTGCTCAGCACCCCCTGGGAGCCCCATGGATCAGCACCTCCCCCTCCCTCACAGCGCCTCCCATGCACTGCCATCAGCTGTTCAGCGGCATGCAGGAGGCCCTGGCAGGAGCGGGCGGAGATGGGTGGGAGTTTGGGGGAAGGGGAGGAGTGGAGATCGAGCACCCCGCCCCCAACCCAGGAACTGAGGAAGTCGGTGCCTCTGTGTGTGTGTGTGTGTGTGTGTGTGTGTGTGTGTGTGTGTGTGTGTGTGTGAATTCCAATGGGGGG